ACCTATGATTAAGGATTCCCGAGGGAATCCAAAACGTCAGGAAAATAAAGCCATTGTTCCAGTGATCGCATCTTTTTCGTCTGAAGATGTCATCGCTGGAACAAGTGGTTTAATGGGCTAACATTTCAAATCCTTGCTCCACCCCATCCCCAGAAACAATCGCAGATTGTACTTGCTTTCTGAACCTCACCTGTTCATTTTTAGAAGCAAATGAAATACAATACAGCGGTAATTATAGCTTTTATAATCTCCTGGGATTAAAGTACATGGGCAAGCCTGTTTTTGTTTATTTCATAGCTAGAGGAAATAATCTGATGTGTTGTAACTAATACGGTCATAGGATAACATGCACAAAGTTGTTTTATTGTGATTTTTGTTATGCCAACTCCTTTCACTTATTGAAATCTACTTGTTGTATACTTTTCAATGGCTTCTCCGATTGTTTACCTAGAATAATAAACTTGTCGGAAATTTACTTATTATTTAGGTATTATTGCAAACATTTCGCTGCCTATCCGCAATGACTTCCGGCCCATGAAGCTCCCATTACCATCGTCCCGTATACAAGAACATGGGGCTAGTAGTGGCTGATGGGGTTTATATGGCCTATCGTTGCACAATTTGCAAAATCAATTAGAAATCTACCGTTTCCTTCGTACGCAGAAACATTTTTTCTGCTGAAATTATCTTATGCTTTCTGGTAACGGGGCCCATGGAGCCCTAGGACGTCTTGCCACTAAAAGCTGCGATTTTTCATTGTCCCCAAGCGTCCGCCAGAACAGTCGATATTTTTCAGTTTATGATTAATAGAAAATTACAACGACATAATTCTTGAAATTGATTATTTGTGCAGTTATTTGTCCATTGTTCATTTATTTAGAGTCCTACCTCAACACCATAGATAATCTTTTCGAGCTCGGCCTGGTACAATTGCACTGATAATGAAAATATGAGAGTTGGACAGGAGTTATGAATTTCTTATAGTTAACAATCATAGTTCACACACCGCCCGCATGGCGAGGTTGACATGTTGAAGTTGGAACTGGGGGAGGGTAAAAAAAGGATTGACTGTAAGCAATGTTCATAGGTAGAGTACGTGGAGTGAACATTATTGCCAAGTATATGGATTGAACAACCGTCAACAAGGAGTAGGAATGACATGAGATCACCACCTGAACTCAGAGTCAGCCACAGCAAAGAATGAGCCTGTAATGGCATCTTTCGACAGCACAACACCGGATTCAATAGCCGCATAGCCACTTCCTCAGCTATTGCTAGTACCCGTTCGTGTCGACCTTTAGAAAAAGAGGTAAGTGCCAGGTAGACAACTGAAAGGCTTCGTTGGGATCGACTCGGATATTGGTAAAGATTATATGTGTGAGAATAGAACTCGAAATCGACCTTTCTCCACCTAGTGTGTTCACACACCTTTTTTCCAGGTAATTCGTTGTTCAGCCAATTTTAAGTATGCAAAATCTTCGACTGAGAAAGAGGCAGTATTAAGAGATATAATACTCTTGTGGCATAACAGACTCTAGATCTCATGATTGAAAGGTTGAAATCGTTTGTGTTCCCTTCTGCTCCCGGCAGGATAGGTGCGAAATTCAAAGGAACTAAAGACTGGGGCTACGGCTAGGATTGGGTTTAACGTCAGGTTTGGGGCTAAGAATCGGAGGACGGTTATGGTTTAGGTAGAGGTTAGTGTTAAAGGTTGAATACAGGACTAAGTACCCCTCCAGCCATTTAGCAAAACGCCACCGTATTACTGGGGGGAGGAGGAGGGGGACTGGTGCACGTAAACGATTTCCATCGAGTGAACGGTTGAAAGTTAGAATGGGAAGCCCATACCTCCAAGACGATGGTTTCGGAGCGTATGTGGACCAGCAAGCAACTTCCCGCGCCCATCAACTTGGACGCAGTCGCGTAAATTGATTCGGCTAAAAATTTGGCTATTTTTGACTCAGAAAGTAGTTAGTTAAAATGGAATGGGGCATAGGGAACTAACCATTGCAAATGCCGGCTGTTCACTAAGCATCAATGTCAACGCTTTCGGTGAAATGTCTTCTTAGTTTCATCTGCCGCAGCACGGTAGTGTATCTTAAGTGATTTTAAGGTAAAGTCGGGTTCAGTAATTTATTTGTCGGAAAATAAACAATCGGAGAAAAAAGCTAGGTCACTTCCGAGGAGACAACTGGACAAGGTTTAAGAAAAGAAGGATTCAATTGAGCGGATTGCTTCTGGGGCTGTCGTTTTGACCACAACAGGTATGCCTCTGTGGCAGCCAACTTCTGTCTGGCTATATGACAGGTTGGGTACGTACGATCCGATCGGATACGGTACTGGAAACCACCTGTAATTCTGGCGGTTTTAGCCAAGGAACTTAGGGTTAGCACGGAGGTAACATAAGTTCCCTACCTCATGAAATGTCAACCAAAAATATACAATGTGTTTTCGATTCGAGCAACTTACATACTTAAGTAAGATTGTATTATTGATTATCGTACAGCCTAATCTCGAAATATTTCAAGCAAGACAGGATGCAAGCTTTTGAACGAGCCTCCTTCTGTATACTCTGTAAAAGCGTCTACTTAAGTAGTATGCTTTTTATCATTGATTTTCATTGCCCTTATAAACTAAAAGGGGTTTTTATGGAAAATGTTCACAAAATATTATTTTTCATGCTCGTTTGGTGGACAATTATTGCTTCTTCAACCTAATGCTTTATGCGGAATAATTTTCAATCCTACTGGACGTTACACTTGAGTTGAAGGTTTCTAAACTTCATTTTTCATACATTCCGTCTAAGAAAGGTAATACTAAGGTCTGAAGAAAAGTATACATATATTTCACGATCTTTTCAATGTATTTGGGTGATGTTGTATACTTTATACGCAACTGTTGGATACCATACATCACGAATGAATCTTGCACGGTCGTGAAAAACCTCATAATTAGAAACTTTTGTAAAACTAAGAGATACACCGTTGTTGTTGCCATAAGCTGGAGAAGTTCATAGATTCTTGACATTTATCATGCCCGCTTACCAACTTGTTGTGTTGAGTTGAACGAACTTTGTATACCTCATTCATTATGTCAGATTTAAACAGGACTAACTAGGTGATTAATAGTCACTACTGCGACATGTCGTTACTTCCAAAGTGACCGCTTCGAGAAAACTCTTAAAGCAAGTAGAACAGTTAAATAAATATTTGAATCACTCTATTTATAAAGACAAAATTGTAAATTAGCATGTGAGTAACTGACAGATGCAGCTGCACGTTAAACGGCAAAAGGTCGTCTTCGCAGGCGGTGAAGTTAATAAAAATTACCAGACTCTAATAGCAAAAACGGGCGAGTTGGAGACATTGTTTTCACTTTCAAAAACGCTGCTCATGTGTTGCAAAGCCACTAAATTACTATTTATTGCGTCCCTTGTTATGTATACTTTTCTTCAGTCCCATCTTCGCCATCGTTGTCACCAACAATCGCCATCATCAGCATCATCCCTACCACTACCATCAACAACGCCCTACTCATCGTCATCTTTCATTTTTTTTCTTAAATTCCTCATCACCATAATCAGAGCATTCATCAACGTCATGAACATTATTATCTTCGGCAGTACCATCAAAGTCATCATCATCCTCCTCCTACTCATCACCATCTTTCTCTTCGTTGTCGGCATCTTTCAACTCATAATAATCGCCATCCTCAGAGTCATCAGCATGGACATTAGCACTAGCAGCCTACCGCCACAAACATCAACGTCTTCATCTTCCTCCGCCTCTTCCTAACAATAATAAGCAGCCCCATTCTCCTTGTCATAATCTTCCTCCTGCTCCTCCTCCTCTTCCTCATCGTCGTCACCGTCATAATCATAATTGCACGTTTTCATGTATGTCTTCTTGTTACCCCCACTTCCACCCATTTGACAGTAACATAGCTATTTACCCCATTATAACACTAGAGGTGTTAACTTACCACTTGTACCTTTATTGTTAACAGTGAAGCCATCCATATGGCATTTTATATATTCGTCAACATCTTGCTGTTTATTCTATAGTCGATTATCCCCCTTTTGAGTAAGTACGCCTTCTTTTTGTTCCCCTAACTCCTTTTTTATTTGTCCGAATTCCCTATCTCGTTACCCCTTCTAGGCTCGGAGACTCAGTTTTAAGTGAATTATTTATATTTTTCTAATCCTCTCCAATTATAGAATCGTGTTCATTGTCTAACCAAAGTTCTTGGTTCTGATTTCAAGTACAAAGGGCATGAAGTATAACCAATCCAAGGCAGCTGATCTAAAACGGCCCTAAACAGTTAGATCTAGAGTACAGGAAACTCTACAATCACTCTGGTCGACACTGCCATCCTCGTCATTCTCATCATGCTTCTCACCGTCGGCATCTTCCCGCTCATAATAATCGCCATCATCGGAGTCATCAACATGAAAATTAGCAACAGTATCATCAGCACCGCCACAAATATCAACGTCGTAGTCTTCGTGTTCCTCCTTTTCTCCTTCTGACTATCATCGTCATTATAATCCTCTTCGTCGTCCTCCTCCTTGTCATCCTCAACATCATCATCGTTGCCATAACCATCATCCTGGTCTCCAGAACTTAGAACTTTCTCTTTGTCCGTAACTGTTTTTGCGGCCATTTTCCCGTTATCCCGGTTCGAGTGACCCCATAGGTAGTCCACTCTGTCGCTCATACGGCAGCAGTAAGAAGGAGTGAGGGCAAGTCGCCAAAACTCGGCCATCTCAGACAAGGCTCAACTTCTTGCGACGGCTGACAACCACGTGATCCGCGAGTTGTTTGACTCATGTTTCTCCTCGAATCCACAGAGTACCTTAGCAGGCGCACCTCCGCACTCTGTGCTGAAACTTTTTCTGAGCGGAATACTCAGCCACATGAGCGGAAGCACACGCCAGTGAAAAGTTCAGTGAGATAAATGGCCGAGTAACTAGCACATAATAATTAAACCGACGATAAAATTATGGCAATAATTACTCGGCTGCTGGAGCGGCTAAGCATGTGGTAACGTGGCAACTGCGTCCTATCACCCTTATCTGCAACTGTATTTAATGCTGGCTTCGGATGAGAATACGAAACCTCAGGCGAAAAATGTCTTGCTCTAGAAATGCCTTACCTTTCCACTTCTTGACAGTTTTCTGGATTTGACTTTTTGTTTTTATAAACAATTTAAAACCATACAGATTACTCCTAAGATATTTCAGTCACACGAGTAAGCAGACTTCTCAATGCAAGTCTCCGTCCGCCGAAAGAACCTGCGAAGTAAGCTTTTTTCCACTCGATGGAGGAGCAATCTAGGGGTTTTCCGCTGGCATTTCCTTCACGATCTGGCGTTGGATGTCGTTCTCTAGACTGACAATGCCGTGGAAGACATAAAGAGAACTGGTGAGGCTATCTAATGATCGTGTAACAACTTCAAATCGTTGGCCATCCTCTCCCCCCCCTCATGTTTCCTAAGCGTTTGCGTAAACTCCTCCAACTTAACTCTCAGTCCAATAATCTCTTACAACATGACCACAGCAACTTGCCTTTCCATTTACTGCCAATCGAGAGTACCCCTGCACCAGAGATTGCAGTCCTGGAGCAAAGGTCAACGATGTCAGAGTTAAAAGGTCTAATGAACATCCGACAAGGGCAGAGTATGCAGGCCCACTGGGAAAACTGTGGACATTCTTGCAATGGGTGATCCTAATTCCTAACCCGTAAGTATCAAAGCAAATTTAAAGTGTAACTGTAACCTTACCACAAGTCTTAATTTCGATTCGAACGACGGAAGTGCGTTCTTGCATCTGTTTTATCCAGCACAGGCATACATACACATACAAAACATATGAACTGGAAGACTTTTCTTCTTCCTCTCGAAACAGGGCTTGTTGAGAATAATGCCCGGACGTCTCTGACGGCTCTCTAATAGAGGGGCCTCTGCGTGTTTTTAAAAGCCAGATTGTCAAAGATACTGCGCCCCGTGTGCGTCCACCATCCTTATTTGTGGCTATCTTGGATGAGAATAGGAGACGTCACATATATAACCCCACTGGGAAAATGGTAGTTAACTGTAAGTCGAACATCAATTGTGGCCATAAATCGCAAACATAATCGTAAACTTACCCCCAACATTAAAACCCTAACCCTCGCACTAGCCTTAAAGCACTAACACGAATTCCAACCCTAACCCCGAAACCCTAACTCTAAACTTAAAGGGCAATCCTAGCCGTAAGCCGAATCCAACATCTATCACTAAAAGTAATTTTAAACGCAGTCGTAATCCTAGTCTTGATGCCAATACGGATACTTTTAAAGTCGATAGCCTTAGCGAAGGTCAAATCCCGCGACCCATGTGACCCCTTGCGACCTTTTCCAAGAAAATTTCAATAAGCCAAGCCAATCTACATAAAATAAGGTATATTTCTGAACAACCATTCAGTGCATACAGTCGCACGGGGAATGTTTCTTGATGTGTCTGACTCTACTGCTTCTCGTTATCAACAGCAGCTTGGACACCATTGATGCTTCTAAGGCAATGGGATCGAGCATACTTGTGTTTCGCTCGTTCTCCACGTGCACAGTTCAGCAGTCGAGACCTTAAAAAAGACATGACCGGCGGAGTTTTAGGATGATGGAAATATCGCACCAAACCCATAGACGCCTGATAAAGGATCCTCAAAGCTCTGCGATACGATATCGTCCTTCAGCCTTCCATTTGGCAAATCTTCACTATGACTAGCTTAACCTGTGCGGTTGAAAGTATTCTGCGCAACCTAATCCCAGACGAACCTCAATGAACTGGAGCCATCTAGAAAACAAAGGAAGATAGACCCTTGAATGACCACTCAGTGCGGTTACATACAATAGCCTTATCGGGCTTTCTTAGCCAATTACTTGAACCGCAGACCTCACTCGCTATCTATTAGTTCCTAAGTGGGCCGCGTGGTAGATGCGCTGGACCACCACGGGGCCAGATCCGGCCATGGCAGGCATTATTCGGGTTGCGTTCCCACAAGAATGTCGGAATTATCGATTTCCCAACACACTCCACGTTGGGAGTGTGTGGGTGCAAAAATTCTCATTACAGAAATCCGAGCAGCAATTGGCGAGCATACGTACACTATCAATAAATTATCATAAGGCCATTACACTTATATGGGAGAGAGGTAAAGTGTAAAAGGTAAAATTGTAGGTAAATTACGTTCAACGTTACAGGCAAATTAGCTCGGGGAATAGGGGAGAGGGTCGGGTTAGTAACAAAGAAGGGAGAGAGGAGGCGGGAAATAATGCCCGCAGTTAGGTGGCCGATGGCCATGCTAAGATTGGAGATTGCA